TATAAAATGGATATTATAATAACTTTTACCATTGACACAATTTTGTTTGCATCTGACACCATTCTGCAAATGAAATGTCATGTAAATAAAGCTAACTATTAGTCCTCACACTTATTTTAAAATAGGGAGCCCTAGTTTTTATTTTCAAATTAACTGTGATAGCCCAATGCTTGGGAGAAATAAATCCCAGGAAAATCTTTAAGTTTTTGCATTAAAATTATGATATATCTTAACATGAAAATAATGGGAAATCCAGAATTTGAACATTTGGAAATAATTAAGCACACCAACATTGCTCACTCATCATATAAAACACAGTTCAATATATATTTATAAAAATGCATTGCATTTTAGAAATGGAATATTTAATACTATCTCTTTTACTCCCAAAACACGGAAGCAGCAGCACTTACATAATAAATTTTTCAAATTGTGTCAACTTTCACTCTTCTCGTATTCACACATTAATGAGCAGGTGTATTATAAATATTGGGATGTTGCCATTGGGTCTTCTACATTTCTCATTTTGAATATTCTATAGAATCTTTACTATGTTTAGAGAAATTTCAGTCATCTGTACATGTCCACCCATTGTGCTTATTATTGTGAGATCATTTCTTACCACCCTTTCATGAACTACCACTGGGAACAAATTGAAGCAGTTGTAGTTGGTAGAATACTAGATTTGTTTGTTTTAAGCTCTGTGATTCACGGCAATTCAGATAGAGAGGCAAAGTGGGTAAAATGACGTGCTTTTGGTCCCTCTGAGCTAGCTAGTGTCTAAGTCTTGGTGAGAACCCAAATTGTTTGACTTATAGCCTAGCCTAATAGTCTTTCACTGTATGAATACGTTTTCACTTTGTTGTATATCTCTACCGAATGGCCATAGGTGTTCCTTAAATTGTCGGAATTTTAGAGTCAAGGTCATACTGCGGGGCTGTGTTGAGAACACAAAGAGAACTGTAGGAAATATAGGCTTTTAATCCCACCATACTGCTTATAGATACATGTCATCCAGGGAATTCAGTTTATCCTTTCAAGTTTTTACTTCATCCATCCAATGGAGTTAATAATGTCGGGGCAGGAAATTTTCCCCACACCCCTCTAGTTCTTCTGGCTGGTTGAGTGATTCAAATGACATGCAGCAGATTAACAGAAGAAAATAAAGTTGTAATATGTATGCATGGGGAATTCACATAGCATGAAAAATCCAAGGGCGGTGAGGCAAAATGTCATTTTGGACAAAGGAGAGGGAGGTAAGCAATCCACAGGTACCAGTAGATGAGAAAGAGCAAACATTTGGTAAAAACAAATTCTTGCAAGGCCACCTAGAGACAAAGGGGAATCTAGTGAACAGATTTTTGCTTGAATCCTCCACATCTGCCACACTTATCATACCTGTTGAGATGACCATGCTTGAGTGCCCTTCTTGAAGCAGGTTTTCTATTGAAATCTTTTAGGCAGGTAAAGGGGGGTAAACAAAACAAAAACAACAAACACACACACACACAAAAAAAACCACAACACAACAAAAATCACACATACACCCAACACACACACAATAAAAAACAACAACTCTTGCCCTGCTAATGTCAACCCATGAGACAAGATGTCACCAGTTGGATTCCAGGCCAGGGCACATGCCTGGATTGTGGGCTCCATCCTCAGTGTGGTGCATGCAGGAGGCAGCCAATCAATGATTCTCTCTCATCATTGATGTTTCTCTCTCTCCTCCTCCCTTTCTCTCTCTCTATAAAAGAAAAGAAAAGAACAGAAAAAAAAGACATGGCTTGCGTTTGTTAGGCTTTCACTGTCTTCAGCTGGAAATAATCTGCTGGTCAGGGTGGTGCATTCTGGGGAGACTCCCTTCATATCCCCACAATTACAATAGTTTTCCATCCTATTCACACTTGTTTGGCAGGTGAAATGAAGTAATGCGTTTGTAATAGGAAGAGCTAATAAGACTTTGAGGTTGAACTAACTCCATATTGGGCAGGTAGTGATAGTTCCCTAAACTTTGGCTTCTTAGATCATAAAATCGATATACCAAAATCTAATTCAGAAGATTAGTGTGAGAAGTTTAAAATACCCTATGCAAAGGACCTGATATACATGACTTAGCGTTTGGCCCTCAATACAGTGGCTGTCTTCACGATTTAGTTGTTGACAAGCAAGTTAGGAATTTATAGGGAAAAACAAAACAAAACTTAGTTCAAGACTCAATTCTGCCCTTTCCATTTTGTGAAACCTCAGGCAAGTCATTTTCTTTTTTAAATCTGTAAAATGGATATAATAACACAACCTGAGTCTTCATGTGTTTGCTATGATTAGATAATAGAGGTAAAAGCATCTAGCATAGTTCCTGGCACATAGGCTGCTCAATAGTTGTTTATTTAAATTTATACTGAATTTAAAGTATATATCTCATCCATTTGCAAATATGAGTGTCATTATTCAGCCTCAGACGTGACCACCCGGAGTTAGATGTGTTTCCGATTTTGCATCTTTCAAATTACTTGGCCTTAAGGAAGTTATTCATTTTTCTGTAGTCTACCTTAAAAGTTAGGTACTTGAAAATAAAGTGGCTCTATATATGAGACATACCTTTATGCACGTTAATAAAGAGGCCAGGAGTGTTCTGCAGGTTTCAGAAATCTGGTGGCTGTTTCTTTAACTCTGCAACTTAGACAGAAGACTTCTGTTTCTTTATGAGCACACTACAGTGAATATTTTGTCTGGCTGCAGGGGAAAAGCTTTGTCATGGACTCTGCAGACAATAGCCTCAAAAGTAAAATGGTCTGCTTTTGGTGCCGGGAGGTTC